TGAATGGAAGATGTGCCTGACTCACTCCCTATCATTTCAACGGTACAAGTTTTAATCCTTGTGTGGATCAGTCCCTCCATCTTTCAAGACAGAAGATCTGCCACCTTGCAAAGGTTTGTAATTTCCCCTTTGCTATACATCCAAATCACCTGAAAAAAAAAGATAGCGCAAGTAAGGGAAAATGCTTATTTACAGAGCGTTTTCTTAGATTAGGCAGATCAGAAACGAAAGACCAGCTCAAACACTGGCTACAAACTTAGCTGATCAGGTACTGCAAGCAGAAGTAAATGCATTTTAATTATAAATTAATATTGGATGCTGCTCTCCAGAAAAAAACAGTTCAAGATAACAACTGAGAGTGAGCAGGGTTACAACTTTCCAAAATTAGCCTGACATGATCTAATTCAACTTCAGTGGGAGTTAGATTGGGCCACGTGCCCACAGCGACATGAGTCTAACTGCTGCCTCTCAAAAGCAATAGTTAAATGAAAACTGCCTATTACTACCTTAATTAACCTGACCTAGTCACATACAGTAATAATGACTTTTTTTTTAATGGTAGCTTTCCTCGAAGTTTCCACAGAATTCTGTGAGCACTTAAAGACAGACTTTTATATACCTTTTTTATATAGGTAGCAAGAAAGCTGGCAAAGAAAGGCCAGGATGATACACTGGAAAGATAAATCCATCTACCAGTGTTTTAGAATGAAGAAATACCAACTTCCTTCACTGTACGAGGCACTTTCTTCATATTCAAATCTCAGTGCTCTTATTTAATATAAATCCTCTAAAATTGTAGCCGTCATTTGTTGCTATGAGGAGAAAACCCTACATCTTTTCAACAATAATATGTACCACTAATGCTCCACTGTTGCTGCCAGGGACTTTTTCCATAAATCATGCAAATACATCACCTGTCATACAAAAATATATTCTTAGCACTCAGTTGCTTTAAGATTAATTTATTTGCAGTGCCAGGAATGCAGCCTTGAGGAAAAAAAAAAATTAAAAATTACTTTGTTGCTTTCATCTTGATGTTATTTTAATGTGAATGTTTCATTACAGCAATATATCTATGACCAATGAGGGATATCATCCACCTCTTTAGCTACTTAAATTCTATTTAAATGGCCATTATGAATGATTGTAGAACTAATGAATTTGTCTTCAAAACAGTCTCAGAATTTAGGAAGCATTTTGTAGACATAAGAGGCAGATATTCAACAAGTCTCAAAATAAATATTGGACAAAACCAATAGGGCAAACACACATCTCAAAATATTTACCCAGGAACCCATAGTTGGCCCTTTTTAGGTCGGGTTAAGGGGTATCTATACATACTGGCTGAAGTTAAGATGGAGGTTTTCTGGTCAATTTTTTGTGAAAATAGAAGATGGAAGAATAATGAATCTATCCATGAGTCATTTAGCGAAGCATAAGAAAGTATATTTTTCCCCAGAAGCGCAAGCTTAGGTTGAGGATGAGAGGTTGGTTTTGAACTTCTGCATTTCAGTAGCTCCAAACTCCACAGGCAATTCTTCAGATCTGACATAAACACCATTCTCCAACCTCTACTTCTCCTGGCATCAGGAAACAACTATCTGAATCTTTGCATTTTTAATACCTCTAGACTGTGGGCTCTAGACTACACCCCATCCTACAGCATTTGCAAAATTCTAGCTGGAGGGACTAGCAACCAACAACTACTCAAATCTGCCTGGATTATCTTTAAGATAGAGGAGAAGAATATTATGACTACTCAGATGTATGATTGTTTCAAATTACCAGCTGCACATTAAGAAGCAGTAAGGATTAACTTTAAGTTTTCAAGAACCTGTTTGTCCTTAATTTTGTTTTTTTTTATAAAAGCTTTGTTACAAGATAGGATGGATTTCTTATGTTTATATCCTGACATGAACTAAAAAATAAAAAGGTATTCCATTCTACACAGATATGGTTGCAAGGTAAACATGTTTTGACATCCTAAAAGACAACGACATAAAATTTAAGTGTAATATTTAAGAGAAGAATTGCTATATTTTATGACAACAATAATTTGTTAAATCTAACTTGTATTAAGATCTTAATTAACTTACTTTTAGTCTTCCTGAATCATTTATAGCCTAGCTACATCTTTCAATACACCACTGTTAATTGTCCTACAAAAAATTTCAACTAAAAGATAGTATAAAGTCATTTTTTTTATTTCTCCATTTTTTTTTTGGATGGATTTAGCTCAAAAGCCTAACAGTATTCTGCTGTTTCCACAGATCCTTCATATAGCTTTAAGGAAACATTCTTAAAAGAACCCCTACAATTTTCCTTAATAATGAAGTTTTAAATTGACTAGGTTCATCAGTAGTGTTTTCAGGTTCTGTTAGTTTTTAAACTATGGCTGAATTTCCTCTTGTTATTCCAGGAACTTTTTATTCTGGGTGATTTTACTGGAAATCAGCAGAAAAACATTCACAAATACTTAGTTAACTGTTGGCTGAATTCATCAGGCTTCACACAATTAACCATACACTAGTCACATCTGCTTTGAAATTTACAGGATCATAAATACAGTTCTAGGAGGCCACATACCTTACTTTCTGTCATTCAAGAACTATTCAATGTACAAGATTTTTAATGTCTTATCAAAAATATAAATGAAATAGTGCTCTTACAGTTCACACTGCTATACTGAAATAACCTTCTGCAGAATACTTCCCATGTGACTGTGACCTGTTCAATTTAATAATCTAAAAGGTATGGCAATATAGATTGCCATAACCTGTGCAGGTAAGCTTACTAATGTCCTTAAAGCATTCTGACAACTTTAATAGAAAGGCTAGAAAAGTGCCCAAGTATGGTATCTAGTAGGTAACTTAAAGCTTCCCAACAACTCCATAAAAATTGAACTTTGCCAAAGCAAGAATTCTGTCCTCAATGTCGAGGTGGCAAAACTAAATCTTACAGCACCAAAATGGGTTCTAGAAGGAGTCAAGAGGGCCGGGAAAGGGACCGCGGAGACTCCAGTGCCTGGAACGGGGGTCAGTAATCTTGCAGGGTTCTGTGTGCAGCAGCCTCCCTCTTTTTCCACCCTTCCAGCTTCCTAGAACATCCTCTACCTCCACAGTGCTGCAGGTGTACGAGATTTACACTGCCAGGAGCAGACCCATCTCTGCCGGATGCAGCAGTACTAGGGCTGTACAAGTAAAACACCAGAGTGGCAAACGAGGCCATCCTTGCTGCTGGAATGACCAATCTCCACCTCTTAACCTAGTCAAAGCAGACAGACAACTGTGCTAGGGAGCAACCTACTTTGCTTATGCTTACGCCTAAAGCCAAATTTGCTTATTATGAAAATGGAAGGTGACACAATAACACAAAACAGTTTGAGTCAGTAGAAATGTATGCTGCAGCACTCAATTACAGCTGGGTGAATTAAGGACTGTGTTACAAATTTAATTCCCCCCCCCCCGCTACCCTCACTTTGCAAGTCAAGCTAGATCTTTCAGTATTAAAAATTCCACTTAAAAATTATTTGAAGATCTTATCACCCAACAACTGAATTAATTCAGCTTGTAATTTCTACCCTTGGAGAAGCATGAGCACAAGTCATTTTGTAGGAACCTTGTCTTCCTATTTTGGGGGGATAGAAAAGGACAAGGAATTATCTTTACATCTGTTTTCCCTCCTGTCTAAATCCCCTGCGCAGCATTTACTCCAGTCACATTTGGGGAGCCTAACCAGATGACTATTACCAGAGTCAAGCAGAGTCTGTTACGCACTGTACAGCGCTGAGCTCAGACACTGATTCCAAATGGTGATTGTTTACTGGTTCTACAAATAGTATTATCAGCCAAAAGGCACCATGTCTTATCAACTCTCTTTAACCATTTAGATGCACTTTCCCAGTAAAAGGTTGCTTTTTTTTTTTAGCATGCCAAGCCCTCATTTTGACCAAAATTGCTTACAAAGACTCCATCCCACAGCTACTTTTGAAGGCATCAGTATCTTCACCATCTTACGAGTTCAAGTTAATTCAAATAATATCATTCCTAAACACAAACTATTCTTTTTGCATTCTATAGCTGTAAATACTATCCAGTTAACGACATCTTCATTTCACGAAACACTTTTCATTGATAAAGAACTCTCGACATACAGTTGTACCTCCATTTACATACCTGCCTCTATTCGATTTCTTTCACAATTCTTATTTAGAAAAGGCTACCCAAATGTTTAGATTAGGCCACTAACTCAGCTTCTTTACAGGTTCTTAATTCTTGGAACACAGCATAACAGTGTGCCTGCTAGTCATGATCTTGCTTCTGTAATAGGAGGTTAAGGGGTCTGATCCCTTGATTTGGATCCATACGCTATGTTGATTGTATAATAAATAACTTAACAGATAATCTAATCTGGAAGAAAACTACATTGCTCAAACTAGTACTCTTTGAACGTTATGCCAAAGTTAATCTCTACCAGAGATATGCAAAAGAAAGAAGTCAGATTTCAAAGCACTGTAAGAATGTTGGAGAGAATCTCAACAGCCTGATATAAGACCGGTTCTACCGCTCAAAGCTATCTGTGAACCATGACTGAATAGACAGGCCAGACCTTTTAAAGGTACCATAATGTTAATGAACTTACTGGCCTGTTTTCAACAGAAGTCTGAATCCTTCTGAATATCCCCACAGGCTTCTGAAGTTGGGCATCCAAATACCAAAGCACCCAAGATTAGAGACCATTTTGGAAAACGTAATCTGCATTCAGCAGTTGCCTATACAAACAATTATCTTGTAAGCATTTAACTCGTTCTTTGCTGAGCACTGTGGAATATATAAATGTGATATATAAACTTCATATAGAAAAGCTCTGTTCTGTTTGCCATTTCTGTTGCATATAAATAGAAAGGTCACAGGTTTCGCATTTTACAGTACCATGAAAGAAGGATCTTTCTCTAAATTATTTAAACCATGAAATGACAGAGATGGAAATGTCTGACTTACTGTAAGGTGTTGTATCAGTAGGGTCAGGAGGCGGAAAATTTTCTGTGAAGTTGACATTACACAAGTCTGTACTACAGCAGCAGAAGCGATACGTTCCATTCTGAATCAAGGAAGGGGTGGTTGTAACTATACACTCCTCAAAGTGACACTCTTGTGGGTCTCCTATATGAGACCAGCAACCTGTAAAAAGAGGCAAATTAAAGAATTCTTTTTAAAGAAGGCATAAAATTAATTCTATTGCATGGACAATTAAACACACCTACAGAAATCCATACATTACCTCATTAAATGTCACAGAGTGGGGTGAAAACAGTTATAATTTCCTTGTCTGACTTCACTACCACCTTTTAAACCAAAAACTGAAGAATTTATTTCAGAATTTACCACAGCCAAGGAGAAGAAACATGGGCAGCGATGAAGGTCAACATCAGAGGTGTCCAGCTGTCAACCTCGATATAACAAAACCTGAATTCTTGAGGCTTCTAAGCAGAAGTATGCCATTCCCCATTTCTCTGATACCACAAAGAATATTACCACCCTCTGGCCCACAGTCTAAATGAAATTGTGACCTAGTCCCCTCCTTAGAGCTAGGCCACAAGATTGCATCTATAGTTCGGTGCTTCTTGCATAATTTCTAAAAATTCTGGCCTTCCTCATTGTCAACGTCACTGGACCCTTCTACAGGATCACAACTTAATTCTTGGTTAACGCAGGCCCTTTCTCCCTGCAGCAACTGTTCCTTCCCAAGTACGGTCAATGGCAGTTAAACGTCGTT